ACAGCATAATAAACTATAAATAGTATTTATTTATCTTCTATACAGACACTGTACAGTTACTAACAGCATAATAAACTATAAATAGTATTTATTTATCTTCTATACAGACACTGTACAGTTACTAATAGTATAATAAACTATAAATAGTATTTATTTATCTTCTATATAGACACTGTACAGTTACTACTTCTGCTAGAAATCCTGCTTAAAAGAATTTCAATTTGAGGGTAGACAGGTAGAGATCCTGATGAGTAATATAATTGAATCGGGTATACGCGCGTCCCACACTTGGTACTGCTGGAGCACACAAACTTAGCTAATAAAAAGGAAAAAAAAAAGGTACTCATAGATTAATTGACTCTACTCCGGCCTAAAATAATTTCAAGGGCCGCGGCTATTGAGGATTCCCTCTTGTTTATTATTATAAAGATATTTTTCAGTGATAGCCTGGTATATGTATTTAGGACTAACTTAAGTCACCTAAGCTGATAGCCTAGTATATTTACTTAGGACTAACTTAAGTCACCTAAGCTGATAGCCTAGTATATTTACTTAGGACTACCTTAAATCTCCTAAGCTGATGGCCTGGTATATGTATTTAGGACTAACTTAAATCTCCTAAGCTGATAGCCTGGTATATGTATTTAGGACTAATTTAAATCTCCTAAGCTGATAACCTACTAAATTTATTTAGGACTAATTTAAATCTCCTAAGCTGGCCGAACCTCGTGAGATATTGGTTTTATGACCGAAAATATAATTAACAATGAGGTACTCACTGATGTATTTTAATCCTTTTAAGTACGACCAGTATATTTAATTACATATACTAATTACTGGGTTGATTTTTGTTTTATTTTTCGATCTAAGTCAGTAGCTTGCTCTGATCGGGAGTTAATATTAAAATAATAATTGATTATTTACCTTCTTTAGAGATATGGTATAGTTATTAATAATACAATAAGCTGTAAATAATGCTTTTAGTATAATAAGCTGTGAATAGTACTTATAGCATAACAAGCTGTAAAAAGTGCTTGTAGTATAATAAACTGTAAATATTGCTTATAGTATAATAAACTGTAAATAGTGCTTGTAGTATAATAAACTGTTAATACTGCTTATAATATATTAAGCTGTGAATAGTACGTATAGCATAATAAACTGTGAATATGCTTATAGCATAATAAACTGTGAATAGTGCTTATAGTATAATAAACTGTGAATAGTGTTTATAGTATAATAAACTGTGAATAGTGTTTATAGTATAATAAACTGTAAATAGTGTTTATAGTATAATACACTGTGAATAGTGCTTATAGTATATTAAGCTGTGAATAGTGCTTATAGTATATTAAGCTGTGAATAGTGCTTATAACATAATAAACTGTGAATAGTGCTTATAGTATAATAAGCTATGAATAGTGAATAGAAACCCGGTTTCTAGCGTTGTAAGTCCGTAGACACGCCGCTGTGCCACTAGGGGGCCGTTATTAATGAAAGATCAGAATAATAAATCCATCTTCTTAATATTTCAGTTTTTATTTTTCTTTATTTTTTCTAAACAGCAGTTCGCTGAAGGAGTGACTGTATTACTTACAGGTTACTACTAAGTGTTACACTACAACGCCCCCCAGGGGCACAGTAGTGTGTCTGCGGACTTACTACGCTAGAAACCGGATTTCGATATCCATGGTGGGCAGAGCACAGATAACCCATTGTGTAGCTTTGTGCTTAACATCAAACAAACAGGCACTGCAACACAATGCTTAAACACCTGCATGTTTGTACAAAAGACTGTGTGCGCATATAAAACACCCCTAATTTTGAAGTGATAGGCTAGCTAGAATGCACCTCACCACCAACTCTTGGGCTACTCTATTCGAATAGAAGGATTTGACCATCACTTTTATAGCGTACCAACAGCCCTAAAGTGGGGATTGAATTTTTTGCGGTAACGGAAGGCGAACCACGAATCTTCGGATTTACATTTCGGCACACTAGTCACTAAGCCACGCCCAGCACAACATCGAGTCACTTTATGAATAGAGTACGTTTAAAATAACTCCTTGAAGTACAAGTAGCCTCAGTATAGTTACACTGCTAACGTCAAGGAATTAGAAGTTTCATATATCTCTCATGACATCAGTTTAGTTTGGTTTTGGATTTAGCGCAAAGTTACTAGAAGGCTATCTACGCTAGCCGTCCCTAATTTAACAATGATAAACTAGAGGGAAGGCAGCTATTAAACACCATGCACCGCCAACTGTTGGACTACTCCTTTACCGACGAATAGTGAGATTGACCGTCACATTATAACGCCCCTACAGTTAAATGGGCAAGCATGTTCAGTGACGGGGATTCGAATCCGCGACACGCAGATTGCGAGTCGAGCGTCCTAAGCCATGCTAGGCCTCATGACGTCAGAGAAAGCGATGTATCACGTTCTGTTTTCTTTATTGGTTAAGGAACGTTGAGATTTTCTATCAATTCGCAAAACATTTTAGTAATTTACACATCGTTCACTCTGTTAGTCCACCATGCCTGTGTTTTAAACGCCGTTGTGTCAAAACAGAAATAAAATACCATACAGGTAAATTATTCGTGGCTTCGTATTTCGGCACTAGCCCTCAAACGTGTTTATTAACTACTTTTGTTTCTAATATTACATACGACACATTAGCTACGATAACTTTATAAAACTTAAAGTTCGGTAGATTTTGTCTAAAACCGTCTTAGAATGTTGGCGAACTTTTATTCTTAAACTAACAAAAAAGTAAAATTCAATAAATTAGCTTTGAAGTTACTGTAGCGTGAGCAGCACATGTCGTTACATTCAACAGTAGAAATACACTAGATGAATTCGCAAATAATTCAGAAAACGTCAACAACTCATTAGTGAGCTTACAATTCACTAAGCATGAAAACTGAATTAAACCAACGTTGTAATTTCAATCTCCTGGAACAATACGATACCAGAAGCTAATTCTCCAATTGCCCCCCCCCCCCCAGTGGCACAGCCGTATGTCTGTGGACTTACAACGTTAGAATCCGGGTTTCTATACCCGTGGTGGGAAAAGCACAGATAGCCCATACTGTTGCTTTCTGCTTGACTTCAAACAAATAACAAAATCAATTCTCCAATCTGAAATAGAATGAAAGGACAGTTTGGCTTCCCTAACAAACACCAAATGACCAATACTTCAATGTCTTAAGAATCTACAATTAAAATAATTTGGCACTTAGAGAAACTATATCCTAAAATCCTGCTGTTGGTGAAACCACAAAGGTGAACAGAATTTATTCTCATGAGTCATTAAGGATGGTCCCCCCTTTTCCTAAAATCCTGCTGTTGATGAAACCACAAAGGTGAACAGAATTTATTCTCATGAGTCATTAAGGATGGTCCCCCCTTTTCCTAAAATCCTGCTGTTGATGAAACCACAAAGGTGAACAGAATTTATTCTCGTGAGTCATTAAGGATGGTCCCCCTTTTGGATGAATGCTAAAAAACATCCAGTGAATATTGAAAATCATTTATATTTTGTACTAAAAAAATCTGCTGTCTTCCTCAGTTTTAAACAACCGACCAGAACGAAGGTAGCCAGCCAATCAGCAGCAGCTTTATCACCCCCCCTCCCCACCATCCACGCTAAGGGATTTACTACCACTGTTATAATGTACCCACAGATTAAAGTAGAAGGAGGATATTTTTGTGGTATCGCTTGGATTCAAAACCGACTCGCCAGCTTCGAAATCTAGAGCTCTACCACAGGACCAATCAGCTTCCGCCAGTTTATGAAGTATCAATATACTATATAATGCTCTATTACTTTGTTGTATTTCAGAATTTTCGCGCAAAGGTATGCAAAGGGATGTCTTTGCATAGCCATCTCTAATTTTGAGCGAATAGATTAGAGGAAATACAGCTAACCACTACTAACTCATGGGCTACTCTTTTCCGATCGGCCCGGCATGGCCAGGTAGTTAGGACACTCGGCTTGCAATCTGCGGGTCGCAGGTTCGAATCCCCGTCACACCAAACATGTGGTGGCGTTATAATGTGACGGTCAATCCCACTATTCGTTGGTAAAAGAGTAGCCCAAGAGTTGGCGGTGGGTGGTGATGACTAGCTGCCTTCCCTCTAGTCTTACACTCCTAAATTATGGACGGCTAGCGCAGATAGCCCTCGTGTAGCTTTGTGCGAAATTCAAAACAAACATACTTTTCCGATCGAGTAGTTGAACTCGACCGTCATTCTCATATCGAATCCACAGCTTAAAGTGCGGGCAATATTTTATGGTATTGCACGGATTTTAACCCGGTTCGCCAGCTTCGAAATCCAGAGCTGTACCAGAGGTCCAAACCGCTGCGAATTTGTTGGGTTTTTAGTTGTTAACTAAGGGACGAGATTACTCGCCTAATAAAAATCTTTAGCGCGAAACAGATTATTATTTCTACAGAAAGGTTTGAACCTTGACCCCATTATTTGATAGATTATGTCTTGCAAAGGAGTTGGAGAATTACGGCTAGAAACTTTTTAAAATTGTTACATATACGTTAGTTGCCTGCGCAGAAACAATAGAAACTACGACTCTTTCTGCGTCTCATGATTTGCCTCAGCTTCTCGATGTTTTATATATAATTATGATCTGGTTAACCGATAAAGTTTTGTGAATGCATTTTGTTCTTACCTGCAGAGCTTACTAAACTGCACAACCTATTAAACCTACAGAGCTTACTTAGGCCTTTTAACTTAAAGGTTACAGTTATACGGATAGCTTTGGACCTTGTGTTTTTTAATATTCTTTATTGATATTGTTTTAATTCCTATTACAAAGTATTAGCATGTGTAACACAAAAGGAGTGGGTAGAATCTTGTGATACCATAGAATACCCCTCCCCGAATGGCACAGCGGGATGTCTGCGGGGTTACAACGCTAGAAACCGGACTCCGATACCCGTGGTTGGCAGAGCACAGATAGCCCATACTGTTGCTTTGTGCTTAATTTCACACAAACAAACCAAAACATATCCCCACCTCCTCAGTTTAAGCTCTAGGAACATTTTAAAGAGTCGTAACCAATATCTTAGCGTGGATGGATGCTTACTTATCCCTGGTCAGTAGTTCAAAATTAGGAATGGTGGCAGATAGCCTTAGTAGCTTTGCAATAAATATGTGTTCATGAATTGATTATTTATTATAAATAAATAGACGTAAATCATTCGTTTCAACTTTTATACAAAGTTTCAGATTTATGAGCCGTGATAACTGTTTACGTAGAAAAAAAAGTTACATAAATGTTACTTAATATAATACAAAATGACATCCTTTGATGTAATTTATGTTTAATATTAACATGTTGTGTTGTCACATACACACCTGGTTACTTTTATAGATTTTGTGATATTATGAACCCATGGGTTTAACTTGTCAGGGGTAAAACTGAGGACTTATAACGCTAAAATTTGGAGTTCGATAGAGAATGTGGGCACAGCGCAGATAGCAAATTGTGTAGCTCTGAGCTTTAAAAAAACAGCAACTACACGAATTTGTTTTTCACTAAAATGATAAACTGTCTCTTATTCACAATTCCGGTAAACAGTAATGTTTTCATACCTTTATATACTTCACTGAAACAACCTTCTCCAATAAGCTCCATGAAAGTAAGACTTTCTCCAGGAATTTCCAAGTCTCGTATCATCTTCAAGAAGAGGTTGTCTGGAGAGTTGGAATAATAGTTTGGGTTAGTAAGGTACTGCAGGGTGACCTTACTTAATGACGTGGCTGAGATGGCGTGAGGGCGCTTTCGTCGACTGCACTGATACGTTCGGCGTCTCCAACAAAAGAACATCGAGACTCCAACGATAACAATTAGCAAGAGAGTAAAAAGACTTCCATAAAGAACGGAGGGTTGAGGGTTGAAGTAGTCAGTGGGCATGTCTCCAGAACTATCAGGTTCCTATGAGAGATCATAATGACAAAATTATTTACCTTTTCTGTTTATACAGGGCTTTTGAGTTGCTGTCAAGTATAACAATGACAGAATTATTTATATGTTTGTCTATACTGAAAGTTTTCAGTTGCTGTAAAACATAGCAATGATGAAAATATTTACTTGTTTGTCTGTACTGGAACTTTTGAGTTGCTGTGAACTATAATAGTGACAACATTATTTATCTATTTCTCTGTACCGGAACTTTTGAGTTGCTGTTAATTATAATAATGACAAAAGTAATTACCTGTTTGTCTGTACCAGACTTTTATGTTGGTGTAAGATATACAAATGACAAAGTTCATTATATGTTTTATATAGTTGAGCTTTTGAACCTGTAAAATATAACATTTAAAAAATTATTTACCTGTTTGTTTGTACTGGAACTTTTGAGTTGCTGTCCAATGCAACAATAATAAAATTATTTGCCTGTTTGTTTGTACTGGAACTTTTGAGTTGCTGTCCAATGCAACAATAATAAAATTATTTGCCTGTTTGTTTGTACTGGAACTTTAGAGTTGCTGTCCAATGCAACCATGATAAAATTATTTGCCTATTTGTCTTCTGTACCGGAACTTTTCATAGCTAGATAGTTCAGTGGTAAAGTGTTATCTTACAATAATGGACGTAGCGTGTACATCTATCTATGTATGTGACCGAAATAATAAATACAATGTAGCGCCATCTATTGAATGGCACTACAAACAATAATCCATAAATAAATTTACACTTTGGGTATTCAAGACTCAGAAAATTATAAAAATAACTACGGTATGTGCAACAAACATTTTTTTAATCAAAGAATACAAGTTTAAATAAAAGTACTCTCCTCACAACAAGAACACGACTTTCACTAGGACTGTACGTGAGGGTTTGATTATATCTTTATTGATGTAATTTGTAAACATATTACTACAAAAATGGAGTTCTTAAAATAAAAAAACAATTTTTTCAATAAAGGGTCCTACTTTTAAAATATAAAAACATTACAATCAGCAGAATCCGAACACTTTTCTCGTGCAGTACTTCCAAGAAAAATCCTTTTTTTTAAGAAAATGTTAACTTTTTCTTATTATCTTTTTAGTGAGGTATGCAAAGCTACACGAGGGTTATCTGCGTTAGCCGTCCCTAATTTAGCAGTGTAAGACTAGAGGGAAGGCAGCTAGTCATCACCACCCAACTCTTAGGCTACTCTTTTACCAACGAATAGTGGGATTGACCTTCACATTATAACGCCCCTACGGCTGAAAGGGTGAGTATGTTTAGTGGGACAGGGATTCGCACCCGCGACTCACAGATTGCGAGTCAAGCGTCCTAACCACCTAGCCATGCCCGGCCTACGTGAAGAGACCAAGGGGTCGAACTTAATATATATCCTAACTCGTGCAAGTCCAGTAAGAGTAACAGTACTAGCACACTTTGTCTGGGTCTCTATTATAAGAACTTTTGAAAGCGAATGAAAGCGAAGAGGAATGTATAATAATATGTCAACCATACCTTATCTGCTATATCTAGTGCCGACGAGGTCTTTTGCCCAATACCAGAGCCTTTCAAGCCGACTGAGATACAACAGATTTCATACTGGCTGAGATTCTACTTATATTAGTAAAATTGCTTAAAACTACTGTTGCGGTTTCAGCTAGATTAAGTTGGTGAAGTGTAGTTTTTCATCCTTTTTAGTTATGTCGCAACATATCAGACTTAGGGTAAGAATTTTTAATACTATATTATTTAGTTATTTTAACACCCCGTGTTATTAATTGTTATTTTTTTTTAAATTATCCTGGTCATTATTTACAAGAAATGGTGAACTAGCAAGCTAGCCTTGTTGATGGAGCGGGTCAACATTAGAATTTATTAATACGAACTTTTTAGTGAAAGTAAAAAAAAAAAAAGAAGTGTACAGTAATTTGTCAGTCACACAATATCTGTTATATCCAGTGCCACGGAGGATATTTCGCCTTATACCAAGGCTCATTAGGCTGGCTGGGATATGACAGACATAAAAGTGTATGAGACGCTAATTATATTAACACGAAACTCTGAAACATATCTTTTTCAATCTCACACAAAACCTTTATAAGGCAATAATCATTTATCGTAAAAGATCTGAAGTTTTTCTAAGTTTACCAACGTTTTATAAACATCATTAGTTAAGCTTAGTGCTGTCTGAAACTACGATACATTTGGAAAAAATAACTAAATTCAAACGACGTTGCCGACTTAACTACTCCAAGTCATAGAATACGCATGCCCAGCATGGATAAACATAGCACCTAAATAGATAAATAAATGACAAACAATACAAACTCATTAGTTACAACAGCCTATAAAGTACCACGCAGCACATCATCCAAATTCATGTACAATTACACAAACATACAAACTATCGCTGATAGACTATTGCCTAATTCTCTAAATTACTTTATGAAAAATTGGCATAAAAACGACCAACTGTGCGAACTTGAAATAAAGAGTTAATCAGGCCACCTAATGCTCGACTGAACAACCTACATTAGTTTTAAAACTAAGCTGAAAACATTTAAAAGAGTATTTATGTAAAATGTTCTCATATTAGGATTAGAACTGGTGAAATTTGTGTGTTTCATACTGAACTGTTTGTGAAGTACAGGACTAGGTAATATCGAATATAAGCGAGAGTGCATACAACACATGAATGTAACTGCCGAACCTACATGGGCATTGTCCTATCAATACATGAATGTAACTGCCGAACCTACATGGGCATTGTCCTATCAATACATGAATGTAACTGTCGAACCTACATGGGCATTGTCCTATCAATACATGAATGTAACTGTCGATACATACTTGAAAGGGATATGAGTAAGTGCGGTTTACACTGACCCTCATGTTGTATCTACCAGCACATTCTTCAGCAACCTCATAACATAATACAGGAGGGAGGAAGAGGTCAACGAACCTGACCCTCCCAGGTCTAAAAAGACCTGAATCTCGGCAAAGAGAAAGTAGAAGAACTGTGTTAAAAGTTGAAGTTTCCTATGGTGTTAGTACTAATCGAATTTATTATTAGTGTTTATATTTACAGGCCGTCATTCGGAAAATATCTCCACTGTAATAACCATTTATCGCTAGAGGTCACTACTGGTACTCACCATGGAATCCTCTACCTCCTGGTTCTTCTTAACAAAAATGCCCACTAGGTGGTCAATGTGAAAGGTACCGTCTGTAGAGTTTGTAGTTTGAGGTCCGTTGGAGACAGCAGAATAATTCGAGTTTAAAACTTCTGAAAAAACAACAACAAACAAACATGTTTAGTCCACTTTTGGACTTAGTCTTCAAATAACGGAATCCTGTTCTATTCCAAATTTGACTGAATGTATGTCTATAGAAAATGATTTTTATACTGATAGTTCCCTCGATATAATTTGTTGTTAAATTTGCACCTACTAGTTCAATCTTTAAACTAACATTATTTGATATTCATATTGTACTTTTACTGGCTCTTCTTCGGGAAGCAGTATATATGTGTGTTCTTTGTAAACGAGCATTTTGTGACATTATTTCCTTAATTGTTTATTTCTGTCAGCTTATGTCTGTACTTTCATTACTTTTTCATAGATAAATATTCTGGAAGCTGTCCGACGGTGTACATGGGCTATTTCGTTCTAAGATTTTTGCCAGAGAAGGAAAGGGGGGATAAAAATGCCCTGAAATAGGGCACATTTCATATTTTTTACCAGCCTTTGACTTTGAATTTGATAATATAGTAGAGTGCTTGGCAAATCGGATTTCATACGTATTATACAACATGAAGAATGGAAACAAAAGCATAACCAATGAATACAATAAATGGACTTCTTGAGGAAACACAAAAAATATTAACCTGATAGATTTGTTTCAGAATTTCGTGAGTATCTACACAAGACATACCTAACGTTTGAAATGACAGATCAGAATGAATGCAGCTAGTCAAGAGTACCCACCCCGCCAACATTGGGGCAACTATTGTCTTATTTCCACTCTTATAACGCACTTACGACTCAAAGGGCGGAGCGCGTTTTAGCAGCAACAAGTCACAAACCACAAATCCTTGGATTCATAGTCAGAGTTAACAATTACGCCACACCTGGTCCTTATCTGTTAGGCTTTTTTTTGAATGATATCAAGATAGTTATTTATGAATAATTTTGCTAAAATTTTCTCACTCATATAGGATTCATAGTGCGAGCTTGATGGCTAGAGCGCTCGACTCGCAATCTGAGGGTCGCGAATCAGAATCCCGGTCACCGAACATGTTCGTCCTGGATGGTTGCCGACTGGGTCAGCCACTCGAGTGTAAAAAGTCTTGGTTTACAAAATGACCCCCCCCCCCCAATTAGCTAGAATGAGGGTAGTTAAAAGAAAAAAAAAGAAAATAGGGTTTATAGTGCGCAGCTTCTTAAAAAAGAAAAGTTTGAAGTTTGAAACAATTTTTCTTCATTTAAAATTTATTTGTAGGCTATGATTCTGAGTAATTTTTCAGAACATTATCCAAAATATAATCTTTCAACTACTGCCTAGTTCCAAAATACAATCTTTCAACTACTACCTAGTTCCAAAATATGATCTTTCAACTATTGCCTAGTTCCAAAATATGATCTTTCAACTATTGCCTAGTTCCAAAATATAATCTTTCAACTACTGCCTAGTTCCAAAATATGATCTTTCAACTATTGCCTAGTTCC